GCAGGTATTGTGTCCATAAGTCTATTGATTGTTTTTTTCCCCTGAAACTTCTATATGTTTTTGTTTTTCTGGGTGTCCCTCAGTGAGAAGGTTAAAGAAGAAGACAGATATTGTAAACGTTATTAAAGCATGAAACTCATTTCTCTATTGGTCCTTGGAACAGCAGAATGACTTGAAATATTAAGTTGATAGAACCAAGTGTTAGGATTTGTACATGTCTTTCCAAAGAGGCTCGAGAAAAGTTAATTTGTTGAAGTAGAAGAGATAAGGGAGAGTAGACCCCATGTTAGAGAGAGATATCGTGTAGAGAGACGCGTCTCTGAATTGAATGAATAATAATCCTTTCCCTTTTGATTGGTGAGCAAATGAGGTGTTTATAATGTGTGTCACCTGTACAGCATAGTCACATGTAAGATTCAACAACGAAGATGAAACTTGTATATTCTTTAAATACGTATTTTAAGAGGCACGCGATTTGCACTATCCACCACATTCTCTTCTCGGATAGGAATAGCAAGTTAGTTAGTGGTGCCTGTGGAAGAAGTGGTATGGTGGAACGCATGTGGCACCAAGACTACTCATCTTCTTGCAACACCATGGACACATGAGGTACCGTCAACCCTTGCAGCATAAGGACTAATTGGCACCAGAACTAGCTAGCACCTTTGTTTCGGACATTCCCAACCACAACCACCTCTTATGAGCCTCTAGGTGACATCGCAAGGTGAGCCATGGCTTTGCATTGTTCCTGCATTGCAAGGATTGAAGCCCCCACAATTTGTTGGTTTCGTCTATTTGTTGTCTTCTTTCCTCCCCCTTGTCTCGTCTCTCTCGCCTGCCCATCCCTAGTACATGAGTGCACGTGTGGATGCAAGGTTTGATAGTGTCCTACCAAAACGCCTTCACAAATGGTATTGTGCCCATCCCCATCTTTTATTCTTCTTATGTCTATTTCATCTCTCTCTCCCCCATCACCCCTCTCTCTTATTTGTTTCTGTAGCCCTCGTGAAATCTGCATAATTTTATGCCGCATAATTAAAAAGTTTAAATGTCTGGCTTTCATTTTTTCATGTGTGTGTATTGCATGAAAATAATATCTATTTCTCTCCAAGGATTGTGTAAGTTTGAATGTCCAAAATTTCATTTTGTCTCTTTCCATCCTCTTAATTGAGGGTGAGTGAAAATCGTATAGTTATGCTTTCTAGATAATTTATCAGAAATAATTTCATGTGCATGATATCCATGCTAATTTTATTTAGATATCATCTGCAGAAAACTAGACTCTTACAGTAGTCTATAGCTTCTTTATGGTATTTTCCGTTTTTGATGAGCTCATANAATCTGGGTTCTGTTTTTTTGGATCTGGAGTTTAGGTATAGGTTATGGGCTGGAATGAGTGAGATTGGTGTTTTATATCTCCCTAGCTTTGTTTTTCTATTTTGTGGTAAAGTATTGAGTTAATGGGTTATTTGTGTTGGATTTGTGATTGCAGAGGTAGATGCAACAGTAAAATGAGGTGGAACTTTCAGCTCTTGGCATGGGTACTTTTTCTTTTTTTTTCTTTTTTTTTCTTTCTCCGACAATAGCTTGTGTAGTTTAAACCTCTTGTTATGTTAATTTTTCATTATTTATCACGTTGGGGGTTATATTATGTGTGTAAGTGTATTTATTGTTTTCTCCAGTGTTACTCTGCTTTATCGCAGGTATTGTGTCCATAAGTCTATTGATTGTTTTTTTCCCCTGAAACTTCTATATGTTTTTGTTTTTCTGGGTGTCCCTCAGTGAGAAGGTTAAAGAAGAAGACAGATATTGTAAACGTTATTAAAGCATGAAACTCATTTCTCTATTGGTCCTTGGAACAGCAGAATGACTTGAAATATTAAGTTGATAGAACCAAGTGTTAGGATTTGTACATGTCTTTCCAAAGAGGCTCGAGAAAAGTTAATTTGTTGAAGTAGAAGAGATAAGGGAGAGTAGACCCCATGTTAGAGAGAGATATCGTGTAGAGAGACGCGTCTCTGAATTGAATGAATAATAATCCTTTCCCTTTTGATTGGTGAGCAAATGAGGTGTTTATAATGTGTGTCACCTGTACAGCATAGTCACATGTAAGATTCAACAACGAAGATGAAACTTGTATATTCTTTAAATACGTATTTTAAGAGGCACGCGATTTGCACTATCCACCACATTCTCTTCTCGGATAGGAATAGCAAGTTAGTTAGTGGTGCCTGTGGAAGAAGTGGTATGGTGGAACGCATGTGGCACCAAGACTACTCATCTTCTTGCAACACCATGGACACATGAGGTACCGTCAACCCTTGCAGCATAAGGACTAATTGGCACCAGAACTAGCTAGCACCTTTGTTTCGGNCAGCATAAGGACTAATTGGCACCAGAACTAGCTAGCCCTTTGTTTCGGACATTCCCAACCACAACCACCTCTTATGAGCCCCTAGGTGACATCGCAAGGTGAGCCATGGTTTTGCATTGTTCCTGCATTGCAACGATTGAAGCCCCCACAATTTGTTGGTTTCGTCTATTTGTTGTCTTCTTTCCCCCCCTTGTCTCCTCTCTCTCGCCTGCCCATCCCTAGTACATGAGTGCACGTGTGGATGCAAGGTTTGATAGTGTCCTACCAAAACGCCTTCACAAACGGTATTGTGCCCATCCCCATCTTTTATTCTTCTGATGTCTATTTCATCTCTCTCTCCCCCATCACCCCTCTCTCTTATTTGTTTCTGTAGCCCTCGTGAAATCTGCAAAGTTTTATGCCGCATAATTAAAAAGTTTGAATGCCTGGCTTTCATTTTTTCGTGTGTGTATTGCATAAAAATAATATCTATTTCTCTCCGAGGATTGTGTAAGTTTGAACGTCCGAAATTTCATTGTCTCTTTCCATCCTCTTAATTGAGGGGGAGTGAAAATCATATAGTTATGCTTTCTAGATAATTTATCAGAAATAATTTCATGTGCATGGTATCCATGCTAATTTTATTTAGATATCATCTGCAGAAAACTAGACTCTTACAGTAGTCTATAGCTTCTTCATGGTATTTTCCATTTTTGATGAGCTCATACTGTCATATCTGCAGCTATTGCCACAGTTGTCACCGTTGCTGAAATTTTAAAAAACAATGGATTGGCTGTTGAGAAGAGTAAGACTTTTGATAGTTTATTTTTCAGAAAAGAGAAAGTTGTTTACTCTTCGTATTTCTCCGCAAACCTAATGACTATAATTTTGCAGAGATCATGACATCTAATGTTGATATGAAGGATGAATCGAGAGGGCGTCCCATCTCTAAAGCCAAGGTAAGTTTTGTAATGTGGTGTATGTCTAGGATTTGGGTCAGATACGCCTTTGTTTTTTTTTTATGTACGCCTACATAGTATGACTCTGCAGCCCTTTCATGTATTTTTCTCTGCTGCATATGGATTTTGTGGGGTGATTTTAATTATTTACTCATCTGTTTGCTGTTGGACTTGGTGATATAAAGGGGGTTTACACAGTGGGTTTCTAGGTTCCATTCTCTGTAATCATTTATACTAAGTTGTACAATGTACTATTGAGTTTAACTCAATTGGAATTCTGTTTCTTAGATTGAGATATAGCTGGGGAAGAGAGAGAACTTTGATGAATTAATGGCAGCTGCTGCAGAGGAGAGGGCTGCTGCAGATGGTGATGAGCAGAGCTGAAAGGGGCTCGGCCTACTCAAGTTTTGTTGGTTTTACTGTCTGTAGTTAGGTAATGCAGTTAATTCGACTAGTTCTTTAGTTGTTTACAGATATCAGAGGTACTATTCCTGAATGATCTTGGTAGCTGTTTGGGAATATTTTTTAGGATTGCGGAAATGAACTTCATCTGTTCAGTATTAGATTTTGTTATTTGATTCTTATGTCTTGTCTGCTGAACACATTTGACATGATAATGGTGTTTTCGAATTATACATTCTTTGGTGATATACCTTGGGAAGTATCATATTAAAGCTTGATATTTCATGTTCATAAAAATACATATATCGACAATGTTTGGAATCTAGCTTAACTGAAATGAGATCAGAATGCTGCTATACCTTACGTTACTGTTTTACACAAGTTTCTTACTCTGAAAATTATGCCGTAATTACAAAAAATGTTATCCGACCGAGCTTGTAAGTTTCCAAATCTGAGCTTACTTCCCGATATGTCCATAGTGCAGTGGCTTCAGTCCTGTGATTGTGTCATTGTCATATGGTTTTGAAAGCATATATAGATCCAATGCGATATGTTTGTTCTTTTGTATCTTTGCAACTACGACAAATGCATGAACACTGGTGGGAAAAAAAAATGAGTGAGGAAAATCATGGGTAAACATATTATTTGTTCTGCATATATTTTTATTTTATTTTTAATTTTTCATTTGACTTTGTTTGAGGGTTCGGGTTTTGGATACTGATCAAATTTTGGAAACTTTCAGCTCTTGAATTTCTCCTCTAAAAAACTCTTGTCAATGGAAATCTGTCATTATTTTGGTAAGAAAATTTGTTGAGTAGCATTATTGTTCTATCATGTTACTTGTTGCTAGATCAAATTATAGAAAACAAAATGAGAAATGTATGGAAGCTAACATTCCAGATTTTTCATTTCAAAAGCCTGCCAAACATATCTCAATTCTCTNCATGTTACTTGTTGCTAGATCAAATTATAGAAAATAAAATGAGGAATGTATGGAAGCTAACATTCCAGATTTTCCATTTCAAAAGCCTGTCAAACATCAGATATCTCAATTCTTTGAAATAAACTCGATCAATGCAGCGAAAAAAAAAAGCCCAATTTAAGTTTCGTTTCACAGATATGATCTTTGAACCAAATCCTATGGAAGAACATAAACTAGACAGGATCACATTAAGAAAATACTGCTATTATTTTGCTTTGAAATTCTGTCTCGCCAAAAACAGTATGAGCTGGAAAATAAATCTAATATGTCTTAGTAAATACCTCAGAATTTGCGTTTCCCATCTTTATGGATCATCTTCTTCCTTGGCATGAATGTTCTTGCATGCCTCATAGCACATGAAAGAAATTCCAGCAGCAGGGACCAATTTAAGGCAGTTTGGCCCCAACCCACTGTACAGACCAGGAACCCCTTCCTTCTCGAGTATGCTTGAAACGGCAAGAATCAAGTTCTTGTAATGTCTCGCATTGAGAGCACCAGCTTGCATGTGTTTGCGAGCCACCTCAAGTGGGAAAGTAGCACCACTTGAAATGGCACCAGCTGCTGATCCGATAAAGAGAGTTGCAGTATTTCCAATTTCCTCCCGATTGAAAACCTTCTTGTAAGCTTTCCGTAATGAATTATAAGCAAAATAATTAGTGGTGGCATATGGGATTACTCCAATTATACTGGGGGTAAGGCCTCTGTAAAGTTCTACCGGTCCCCCTTATTGCAGAACTTTCAGAAAAGCGTCTAGAAGATTCTTGTAAGCACCCCTCTGCAAATACACGATATCCATAAGGTTAATCTCATTTTATATCCCGAAAGATAGTTCGAATTTTAATTTGTACCCTCAAAGAACAAAAATTTTAATTTACACCCTCAAANTAAATACCTCAGAATTTGCGTTTCCCATCTTTATGGATCATCTTCTTCCTTGGCAAGGATGTTCTTGCATGCCTCATAGCACATGAAAGAAATTCCAGCAGCAGGGACCAATTTAATGCAGTTTGGCCCCAACCCACTGTACAGACCAGGAACCCCTTCCTTCTCGAGTATGCTTGAAACGGCATGAAGCAAGTTCTTGTAATGTCTCCCATTGAGAGCATCAACTTGCATGTGTTTGCGAGCCACCTCAAGTGGGAAAGTTGCACTACTTGAAATGGCACCAGCTGCTGATCCGATAAAGAGAGTTGCAGTATTTCCAATTTCCTCCCGATTGAAAACCTTCTTGTAAGCTTTCCGTAATGAATTGTAAGCAAAATAATTAGTGGCGGCATATGGGATTACTCCAATTATACTGGGGGTAAGGCCTCTGTAAAGTTCTGCAGGTCCCCCTTCTTGCAGTACTTTCAGAAAAGCGTCTAGAAGATTCTTGTAAGCACCCCTATGCAAATACACGATATCCATAAATAACAAGCCACAGCTTCATAGTTAATGCTGTAAATATATGAAATCCCCGTGCTATTCTGTACACCTGGACGGTTAGTCGAGTTTTGAGCAACTCAAGTGGGTACGTGCATAAGGTAGCTCATTCCACCAATAGCACCTGCAATTGGAGATACAGGTACTGGTAGTTTGGGCTGTTCTCCAGGTTTAGGTGTCAAGTGCTTCTTAACTGTGTCAAAGCAAATAGCTGCAAAAAGTTACACGCACGCACATATGGAATAAAATCATTTAAGGCAGGGCAGGAAGAAACTGGTAACTAAAAATTTGAGGTCCAAGGAACCCGATCTTGTTTACTGTCTGATGTTCTTGGGCTTTTATTTCAGAACTTGAATTCTCATTTACTGTTGGATTGTTTTTCAAATACTATTTAACTAATTAAAATCTCACCAAGAGGACATTACATGGGCAAAACTAAAGCATATATGACGTTACTTGATAGCTTATGTCTCCATAAACAAATTCCTTACCAGAAACAGTATATATTTGCTGTTCTATAAAAACATTCATCGTTGTCGCAGCAAGTTTCAGCAAACTAAGGACACCAACTAGTAGGGATTCTTTTCCAGTGAGAAATAACTCGTTAACGAAGGCAGGATAGACAGTAAGGTCTCATACATCGTTTTACATTCAACTCAATCTGGGACCACATATACACTGGCAAGTTAAATTGCTGTCGATCAGAGTAATGGCAAAGTACTTAATTGGAAGTATGAAAACAATAATTGTACCCAAATATGCACCAAATAACACCAGAACACAGAAAAAGTGGAACATGAACACACACCCGCACACATAAGGAGAGACAGGGAGAGAATTATGCTGATGGTTGCATATAAATGGGCTTGTCTTGTAAGATCAGGAAGTTAACTTGATTTCACTTATTGGAGAATCATATTAGGGATAAGTAAAACACACCAAGATGAGAAAGAAGTGAATGAAAGATGCTGAGAACATTCTATAGACATAAATTTCATGATACAAAGGTACAATTGACAGAGTACCAACTTTTACCAAGATGGGTCCAAAGAAACTAAAGAAGTGGTCCTTTCGATTTTAAGAAAAAATTGTAAACATGACACTAATTATAATACGAAACAATAATGTAATTAGTGAGCTTCACTAAAAGAGCAATGCATAATCCTTTTTTTCTTTGGTTAACTAATGCACCAAGAGATTTTGACTAGAACATATTTCACTAGATCTTCCTTCCCCCATCTTCCTGCCCAAAAAATCCAGGGAACAAAAGAAAAAGTAACAAGAAAGGGAGAAAGGAAAGCTGAGAAGGAATCAAATCCAATCAGAAATTTCCAGTCAGAGTTCTTGCAAAACATTAGAGCCCATCACAGTAGTTATAGTAGTCAATGGATCCATGACATTAGTGTGGAATATCTGAATCTCGCAAGTTAAGAAACTCATGTTGACGACAACTTGACTAAAGCAATATAAAAGGCAAATTAGCATTCCTCAAAATTATAATAAAAGGTACACATTTTGTGCCAAGTAAGCCATTTGGTCCAGATTAAACTAAAAATGAAACTTGCTCCCTATCCATGAGAAATCAATTGTATGGGAACCTCAAACTAGATAGGCTAGAATAGCAATAAGGAATGAAGAAGAGTACAGATTGTGAGATGTTCTGAAAGAATAACTCAAATAACGACAATTGCACTGAAATTAACTCATTAGAATCCATGCCAAATGAGAGCAAGTCATATCAAAAATCCACCACCCACCACCACCAACCACCCAAAACCCACCGAAACTCACCACCACCAACCACCAAAAAAAAAAATCAGAGAGAGAGAGAGAGAGCGAGGGAAACAGAGATGGGCGAGGGAAGAGAGCATAGAGAGGCGAGAGAGAGAGAGAGAGAGAGAGAGGTAGCGGGAAAAAAAGAAAGTGAAACAGGGGGGGGGGGTTTATGCTTGAGCAAAAAAAATCATTTTTTCGTTTCTAAGAATGATCGAAGCTAAGATCTCATTAAATTCCTTCGAAGTCAGTGTGTATTTTGGTTTTTTGGTGTTTGTGAAAACATTTTTTTTGTGTTTTTATTCTTTGGCCTTGTTTTTAAAATAGAGTTCCTAAAAACGAAAAGAAACAGAAACATACAGACACATTTTTATTTTATTTTTTTGTCAAAAATTGAAAACAACAATCGAAAAAAACAAAAATAATGGGTTACCAAATGCAACCAAAGATTTTGCGATCAAAAGAGTAAAAACTATAATCCTGCTACATGCATGGCTGGTTGTTTGGTACATTTTCATCATTTGTGATTACCATCACACCACTGTCAGTCTATCATTGACATGAACTCGACACGTAATGAGTATTATAACAGAGTATCAGACATTCAGTTTGATTCTACCATTTAGCTTATTGCAACAGGTTTAGCCTATTATAACAGGGCACAGTCCGATCTTTTAGTTATTATTTTCTCAAGAAACAAGAATAGTGAGTTCCGTTCATAATCATCAAAACAGGATTAGATAACATATAAATAGTAAGTCCACTAGTTGACTTGTTCCAGAAAAATGTCAATGCGAGAGTACTCTTTATGACAAATTTTGTCAAAGACATATGCCTGTGTGAGTTCCCTCTTGGTAAGAATATGGTAGTGTCTTTGCCAGATCCTTTGGATGGCCATGGTGGTAGCAAGGAAACAATAGGCAATGCCTAGGATGGCAAAGATAACAATAAAAACAATAACCAGTGCAAACCACGCTTCCATTGATGCTGGAAAGCAATCCAATATGCCTCACCCATAACAGTAGTTCTGACACCCAGCCATGCGTGGGTCACTTGTATTAAGGGAGAAGCAATGTAGTATGAGCCCAAAAAAGCCAAACAGCACAAAGAAGGCAAGAGCTCCTATTAATATTTATTTAGAGGGTCAGAGCATAGAATAAATGATGAAAATATCATAAAAAAAAACATACTAAAACACAAAATGAAGAGACTGCAACTATTGCACCCGGCAAACATTAGAACTAGATCCTACTGGATTTATTATTGAAAATGTGGAAAATTTTAAAGCCCACTGACGAACACAGCCCAGCAGCAAAATTGCTAATTGATATGGTAACACATAGCAATTGTTTTTTTTTTTTTTTTGGGAAAAAAAGGCCAACATAAACACCATGCAGAACTTTAAATAGCATTTGGGAAGAGAAGTGACCACTCCCAAGGAATTCAGGGGTATTATCAACTGCTTGGTTGGACACTGTCAAAGAATAAAGGTAAAACAGAAGGGCACAAACAATAACTTGTACAAAGAATGGAATTTGATTGTACATTACGTCCTAGCCCAATTGTCCACATTAAAAGTTAAAACTATATCCAATATTTCTACTGTTCATACATGTTAGGAGCTCACTTCAAAGTTGGAAGTTCGAGCTTCAAACATTCTAGTGAGTGGTGACATCATGCCACAAATTATGACCGCACTTCAATATTTTTTCTTCCATAAATGCATTGTACACTCTTTCTAATTTTCTTCAGCTGGAAATGAAACTAGTGATTTCAAGAAAATAAATGATATGTATTCCATTAAAAAGATTACCCTATCTTAAATATATCAGGAACCCCCACCCACACATTCTGAATAGTATATAGCAACTCAAATTCAAACACAGCTTTCAAGGAAAGAAAGACTATTGGCCTTTGATTAAAAGATGCTCGATTGGAGATTTGGGATACAAGTTTAGATTTAAAAAATTCCCAAAACCAAGTGCATTGACCACGCAATACAATTTCTATTGCCTCTGTGCTGAAGCTGAGGGAAAAATATAAGAAAAATGTAGATTATTGATCCCATTTCTCAAAAGCAGATTATGAAAGCTCTTGCAGCAATTTTCAAAGATTAGTAGTGAAACAAAGAACAGAGTGACTGGTCCTCAGATAGAAAAGACTATAACTAGAAAGACAACGTACTACAAGGGTTTCTCTATCCAGAAAATTCTCGACATAAACGGTTTGGGGGAATGAATTTATTATTGAGCGTGGACCTGCCAATAATACAATGACAACATTCTCATTGGTAAGCCATTGTCAATATTTCCAAACAAATTCCCTTGAAGGTCAAATTTCTGGGTTTCCTTTACCCAGAAGTTCCCCCACATTTGTCTTTCAATAATGGTTTGGGTAAATGCATTTGTTATTGCGCGTAGAAATGCCAGTAATTCCATGACTACATTCTCATGATTAGTAAGCAGTTGTCAAAATTTCAAAAAAAAAATTCTCTCAAAGGTCAAATTTTGAAACTGATAAACTCCAAAAACGACGATAACGTCTCTGATGTAATTTTAGTCTTCTGGTTTCGAAGTAGTAAGGTGAAACTTTACCTATACAATAGTAGAATGGTATGGGATGCTTTGATAGTATACGATCCCAACTGTCATTAAATGAATTCCTGAAAGTTCCATCCTTGTCCATGATGTATGCAATTCCACCCATCACAGCAATTAC